TTTTGAGATCAGGTCTCATGAATTATTTGCCTGGGCTGGCTTTGAACTGTGATACTCCTGATCTTGGATATTGTATTTTTAAGTTACATAATTTCCATTTAAAAATAATTTCTACTCTTTTGTTAATGACTTAGGTCTTTCCATTTCCTCCCTTCCTTCCTTTCTCCCTCCCTCCCTCCCTCCCTCCTTTCCTTCCCTCCTTCCTTTTTTGGTGGTACTTGGGTTTGAACTCAGGGCCTCACACTTGTTAGGAAGGTGCTCTACCACTTGAACCACGACCCAATCCCCATTCAATTTTGAGAGTGTTTATGTTTACCTCATGGAAGATGGTTTAAATAGCTGCTTTAAGTGTTCTCTGATCTTCCAACAGCTGGATTATCTCAGAACTGGCTTCTGTTGATTGTTTTATCCCTTGAGAATTTTTCAGATTTTCCTTGATTTTTTTTTTTACATTGAGTAATTTTAGATTGCATTACGAACATTTTTGTTATTATGTTGTGAGACTCTGGGTTCTGCAAAAGCCTTCTGGAGAATGTTAGCTTTCTATTTGTATGTTTTAGTCAGCAATCACCTTGGTTAGGTTCAGACTGCAGGTTCTCCATCTCACCTTCTATGGGAGGTGGTTCTATTGCCAGTGCAGTTTTCAAAGTATTTGTGGTGCCATTTAGATCTGCCCCTCACCAGTGCCACTCAAAGATTAATCTGCTACTAATTTATCATGGCAGGGTGCCTGAGCAGCAGTTTATTTAGTAGTTAGTCCTCAATGCCTTGTTATTTTTCTTTGGGTGTATTCTTACCTGCACAGCTTGGAAGCAGCCCCATATTTGCATTGTTTCATATACAGAATTAAGAGGGTCTCTTTCTTTTCACTAAGCTCTTCCCCGCATTCTTTAGCTCACAGAGCCCCTTCTTACGGTTATCTGTCCAGAAAGATGGGACTTCCTCAGAGTTTAGCTTCCTGCATCATTATATGGTTTCACATGACTGCCCTTGGGGGACAAGGGGACCAGGCATTCCTCTGCTCTCTGCAGTCAAAGGAGTCCCCTTTCCCTGTGCGTTAGCCAGAAATATGGACTTTTCTTTGTGTTTTTGATCTCTGTGAATGCTGCACACTCTTGATTTGGCTTACCCTTGGTCAAAGCTAAGGAGATAAAGGGGGAAGAAGGAAAAAAGGAAGGAAGGAAAGAAAGAAAAAAGAAAAAGAAAGAAAAACCTTACTGTTCCTGTCCTTCAGGTTTTGGCTTTCCTCTGCCATCTCCCTATTGCTGACTTGTCAGAAACCTTGGGTAATTGCTTTTGGCATTTTTGTCCAGGGACTCTATTTGTCATCAGTGAGAAATAAAGACTACAATGGGCTTAACTCCACCTTGGGTGACATTGGGAGATGGCTCATTTTAAAAAGTTGGGACTTTAGCATTGACACTGGTGTGGCTTAAAGAAAAGTTGGGACTAAAAAGCTACTTGGAATCTCCGTGTGTGTGGTGGAGGCTGCCCACTTTTACCTTACTATAGGGAGCTCTAACTGGACCATTGCATGGAAAAGCTCCATGAGCAGAGTGTTTAGTCCTTCCCTGGGGCTGGACACATTCCCCCAGGAAGACTCCCATTTCCTGCCCAAGAGAAGCTTTGGTTATTTCCAGAGGCAAACTGAATGCTAAAGCTGGGGTTCTCAGTCTCTTGCAGGCACACTTCCTCCTAATGCCCCCTGTTTTCAGTGTGGTTCCACTGACCTCAGCTGTCCCTGGCGATGCTCTGTTTACCCCTACAGAAAGCAGAGCTACATCTTTTCCTGGGTGGTGAGGAACAATTATAGAGATGTCTAAAGCTAGGGAGAGATCGAGAACCACAGCTTACCCTTGGGAATGCTGACTGGTTCCTGTACAGGATCCAAACACATAGCAGTAGCAGTTCTCAAGACAAGGGTGGCAGGCTACACACACATCTATTGTCACTCCCTCTTGAGACACAATACATACTGGTTTCTGCCAGCTGTTCCAATTTCAGCATCCTCTTTCCACCTACATCCAGAGGTACTGCTGCTGATCCCTGAGCCTTTGTAGAATCTACTGCAAAAGTCGAACTGGCTTTCATTTGACTCTGTGACTGACTTACACTGAGTTTTCTCAGGCAGTTCTCCTAGGCCTCATGTCACTCTTCCATTAATACTTTATTGTCTTTTTGTCTAATGTGCTGCCTTAAAAAAACTCCTTTGTGGTGGTTTTAGTGATATCTAGGAAGGAGTATTAACAGATGTCTGTGTCCAACCTGCCGCCCTGCCTGGAAGCGAGTGCTACCACCATGGATCAGGTACAGGCAACCAGTAAGCCTTCCAGTGATGATCACCTGGCTTCCTCCAACTGTAATGGTGCCTGTGAAGCTTATTTCTGGTTAAGTAGGCTGTGTTCAAGTGCCCTTTCCTTCTGTGGATGTGAGGTAAGAGTGAAGCTATTTCTTCTTGTACCATGATTTTTATATTTAATTATTGGAGAGCTATTTCTAACAGGATAGTCACGTAGGCCCAGAATTCTAGGTTTAGGTATGATGAAGAAGTCAACTCCCTTCTATAGCCCTGGCACAAATATCTTTCATGTGAGAATTTCCATGTTTTATTTCCACCTGTTAATTACAACATTTTAAAAGAATCTTCTGAAAATATAAGGAATATAATTAGGAGAGAGGAACCGTTTCAGGCTGTTGGAGATTGAAAAAAGAAAAACACTGATTTTTCTGAACAGATCAGAGATCGATCTCCCTTCTGAGAAACATCAAAGCATCTATCTATTTTAGGTGACAAACAAAAGGTCTTAACCCATGGCTATCAACAGCAAATGCATGTCTCCAGGAGGAATTAACATGGGAATTAACCAGGAGATGAAACCAAATTCACTTAAAACCACTGGGGGATTTGATTAACTTATTATTGGAGACATATCTAGCTTTATAAATTTCAATATAAGAGAGCAAACTAGATTTCAATGACTAGAACTTATTTTTAACAATAACTACTATGATGAGAAACATTTGTGGAAACTATGCTAGTAAAATGAGCACAGGCTGAGGGTCAGGGAGCCCAGGGTTTGAATTTTGACTCCATGCTTCCTAGTTGTGGGACTATAAGGAAGTTGTTGAGCCTGAGTTCCCTTTGTTAGAAATCCACTTATTAGATTAAGTAGGATTTATATACTGTTCAGAACACTATATCACCATCTTTTTCATCATTATTTTGAAATGTTTCCTTTGGCCTCTATTTCTTATTTTGGCTACACAAAGAAGACATGAAAGTAGACCTACAGTTTGTCTTTGATGAAAGGTGCTACAATGAGACATTGTGACTCTTGCCTAGGAAACAGAAACTGAAAGGGCAAACATGTTGGCTCCCTCTACAGTCTCTGTCAGGACCACTCCAGTTAAGAACTTTCATGCTTCATGGATAGTCAGAGATGATGATAGCAATGGCTCATTGTTTGTGAGTGCTCTTTTATTTATATATCTGGGGTAGGTGGTGATTTTTAAGATCTACCCACAGTCCCTCACCCAGGCCACCAGAGACCAATTAATTTACTGGGAGAATGTTTTTTTTTTCTTTTCCCATTGACTATTTCATAAACCATACGTGTTAGTCAGTTTTTCATCACTGTGACAAAATACCTAAGACAAGAACTTAAAGGAGGGAAGATTTGTTTTGGCTTATAGTGTCAGAGGTTTCAGTGCATCATCATCTGGTTTCATTGTTTCTTCGCCTGTGGCAATGCAGAAATATCATGGTAGAAGGACATGGTGGAGGAAAGTTGGTTACCTCACAGCATCCAGGAAGCAGATGGACTTGAATAGGCCAGAGACAAGATATATCCTTCAAAGGCATGCTCCAAGAGACCAGGCCCCATGTCCTAACGGCTCATTCAGTATAAACTCATTAATGGATTAACCTATTGATGAAGTTAGCAATGTCGTGATCTAGTCATCTCTCAACATGAACCTTTTGGGGATGTACTGCATATTCAAACCATAACAAGTGATAGATTTTTTTTCAATAAAAAAGAAGGAGTAATAAAGGGGAGTAAATAAATTGAATTTAATCATGTACATTTTATGCATTATGGAAATATTATAATGAAGCCCTTTTGTACAGTTAATATATATGGATAATAAAAAAGAGAGAAATGTTAAAAGTCCTATTTTAACCTTTTTTATTTTTGAGGACATACTAAATGGTAAAGAGAAAGAGAGGTTGAAGGGGGGTATTTTGATGAGAAATATCCATAAAACGGTTAACGTGCTTGACACATGGGCATAGACAGGGACATGCACCTGACAATTAGCAGTTATAAGTTGTTCTCAAGAATACTTGAAATTTTTTAAAAAGAAAACTTGACCATGCACAACCCATAAAGCAATCCTGAAACTTGAGGAATCAGTATCCTATAGACTAAGTTCTCTGGCCACAATGCAATTAAGTTAGAAATCAGCAACAAAAGATCATTTTTAAGATTCTAGACATGTGGGCTGGAGGTGCAGCTCAGTGGTAGAGTACCTGCCTAGTATGCATGAAGTTCTGGGTTCTATCACCAGTACCACAAAACAGAACAGAACAAAAGAGACAACCCATCCAACTCAGATATTTAAAAATCTCATACATGTTAAAACATTTTCCCATTATAATTGGGTAAAAGAAAAAAATCATAGTTGAAGAAAAATACTTAGAATTAACGATAACGACAATACCACATACAAAAACTTGGGAAATGTAGCTAATGTTGTACTTTGAAGAAAATTTTGAGCTTTAAACTCCTTTATTGGAAAAGAAGAAAGGCTGAGAGCTGATGATGAAAGTATTCAACTTATGTAAGAAAAACAGTGAAAAATACACATAAATATTTGAGTGGCTTTCTTACTATAGAGAATGCATTTATATATATAAAAAAGAAAGAAATAACAATGAAACAAAATCATTCTTCTGTTGTGATGTTATTAGGTGCTTAAAGAATAGACAGTGTCCTTACCTGCCAATCTCATTCAGCTCAGTATAAGCAGAATCAAAATTTTCCTTCCAAGAAATGGTGGCCCCATCTGCTGCTGCATCTTGAGGAGAGAGAATATAGTCATGATCCCGAGATGTAATGTCAGGATAAAGAAAGGGTTAACAGGGGAGTGCCAGCATAATCCCAAAGCAAGTCTCATGACTAAATACAGAGGCTCCTTGGTGGGGAAATGCCACAATCCATTGGAATGTTATTTAAAAAATATCATCTGACGGGAAACTGACAAGACAGAGTCAGAGTCAGCTCCCTCTGTCATCCATTTAAACAAAGGGAAAATTTGAAACAATCAGAAATGTAGCTTCTGGACATTTTAAAACAGAAATTTGGTAGAAAACATAAAAAAGGAAGAGAGAAGAATGAACACTCTTGGAAGACTAAAAAAAAAAGAAGAAGAAGAAGAAGAAAAAACAGTGAGAACCAGGGCTGTAGGGAGGATGCAGAGGAAGAATAGGTGGCAATCTGCAAGATCATGGAAGGAGACAAGGAAAGGAGTCAACCGACTTCTCTGTCTCACCTACCATACTCAGTGTGTGAGCTTATCTGGGATATTGAATGACTCATCTTAACCCACACAACATGCCCCTGAGCAGACAATTTGGCAGCTTTATCTTATATGATATGTTAATTCCCCATCAATAGTTTACACACACGAACATGAATGACAATGTGTATTTGTGTTGTTTGCTAGGGACCAATGCTCAGAAGCAGCCAAATATAAACAGTGGTCATCTCAGTCTGGACTGAGTTAGTGGCCTGGGAAGAGAGGAGCCAAGTCAGCAACTCAGCCCTTCTAACCCCACACTGGCCACCTCAGCCTGTCCAGAGCACGACCTGTGGCTTATTCATTTTGAATTCTAAGGACACAGAAATCCAGGGCTAAGGTTTCACACTGAGTCACCAGCCTGTGGGTACAACTGGGGGGGAAATGATTGGGTTGGCCATGGAGGTGGGGCTGGAGAGCAATTTCCCACTTAGCTGGGAAAAAGGGTGTAGTCCAAGGCTCTAGAAGGTTTTCCAAGGCCCTCTGGGGACTCCAAACTTTCTTTAACCCAAAAAGCTACAAGCCCTTTGCCTTTTAGTATAATGACAACCCCCTCCTTGCCTTCTTCAGTCCCCAACACATATGGACTACTTCCTTGTGCTGTCTGAAATGTCACTATTTGGAGATTTCTTGAGGCTATCAATTTTCCTCATTTAAAATGTCCTTGGGAACAAGGTGAGATGGTGAGCAAGATAGAAAAAAAATGTGCTTATAAAATATTTGGTGTAGTTAGTTATATATTATCTTAGTGAATGTCTAAACAAATCTACATAAAATATATCCATGTTGAAATAAGAAATTCTGGAAGGGTGGGAAATTAACAAAGATTCATTTTGTAGTGAAATCCTTCAACCAGGTTGCTTTTCTTTGCCCGTATAAATCTGGTGAGCAGAACTGTCCCTGGTGCTGTGGGGAGCAGTTATGCCTGGCAGGGTCATCCAAGGGACAGCAGACTTTGTATTCTTGTTTCAGAGAGGGGCAGAGAACACTGCACTCCCATAACGCTTGATTCTGTGTGCTCCTCTCTGTTCCTGATGTCATGCCTGGTAGGTTCAGGGTCAGCAAGGGTGGCCAACCTAACCTTTGTCAAAGACACTTGGAACTGTACCTCGAGGAGACATCCATCAAGCTTCTAATAGGTTGCTTGACAGAAGCTTCTGGGCAGCTCCAGGACACCTCTCCACTAGTGCCTGATATGCTGATGATTCTCTATGGTTGGTTGGATGCCTGGGGTCCTGGGCTGGTTGGGACTCACCATACTCTGGAAGTCGCACAAACTCTGAGGGTTCACTTGGAAGGCTGATTCCCCAGGGGTTGCTGGCACTGACTCTGAACTGATAAGGACACCCAGGACTGAGGTCTTCTATGACGAGGTAAGTGTCCAAGGTCGAAGCTACAGACTGCTGCCAGACCTGGGAACCTAGTGCATAGTATCCAAGGAAAGGAAGAGAGACAAAGCCAAAGAGACATTGTTTCAAAGATGTTCAGCAAACAAAGAAAAGAAAATGGACATACTCAGTTCAAGGAAGAGTTGTCACTATGTCAGATTTTGAAAGCCAGTTGACCACCCATGATGGGTTTGGGTCCAGTTTCCCAAATGACTGAATACATGTTTATTGAGGGTCTTGGAAGAAGTCGGCTGATGGATTCTGTTCCCTCTCAAGTGCACAAGTGTGAGAGTGAATAGACATAGCTAATACCACTTGATGGGGGACAGGTGACAAGTGACATTAGGCTGGAGGAAAACATAAGTCAATAACAAATGAGAGAAAAATATGCCTTTGGAAATTGAAACAAAATGTATTGAGCACTGCGTACATGTGAAAACACCATGAACCATGTCTTTGTCATAATTCTTGCATTTAAGTCTCATTTAAATCTGCAGAAACCTCAAGAGGTAAGGAGTGTGAATCTTACTTCACAAATGAAGAAACTGAGCCTCAGAAACACGAAACCATTTGCCCAAGAGAACTTAGTTCCTGAGAGGAACTGAATACTGTAAATAGGAATTTTGTGAAATGTATCTCTCGGCTTAACACCCAAACTGGTGTCCTGACCCAAGAGACAAAAGAGCAAACTGCTGAAGAAAGATGCTCTAATAAATAGTTTTGTTACTGCACAGGATCTGCTTAATAAAGAGAAGAAGGAAGAGTCAAAATAGAAGGTAGAGGAAAATGATTTTGGCTCAGGGTAGTGGAGAAATTGGTTTCAATTCAATTGTGTAATTCATAATATTGTTCAGAGATGTGTTGTCAACAACCATTGTTATCTAGAAGCTTCTATTTCTTTCTTTTTTTTTTTTTTGTGGTACTGGGGTTTGAACTCAGGGCCTACACCTTGAGCCACTCCACCAGCCCTTTTTTGTGCAGGACTTTTTTTAAAATCCGGTCTGGAGAACTATTTGCCAGGGTCTAGCTTCAAATGGCGATCCTCCTCATCTCTACTCATCTGAGTAGCTAGAATTACAGGCCTGAGCCACTGGTACCTGGTTAGAAGCTTCTATTTTAAATTAATTCTTGGTAACTTGATGGAGGCTCAGTCATTTCTAACTGCTAAAGAAATATATTCACTTTTATTATGTAAATGTAATAACTTAAAAAATAAAAATTGCACAATCAAAATTGTACAATTAAAATACACATATATATGCTACAAATTTTATCTTGGGGGCAGAGGTAGTTATATCTTACTGCCCTTGTTATCATTCTGGCAGAAAGATCACAAATTAGCAAACTAGAGAGCTGGGTTCTAGTGCCAGGTGTGACTCTTACTGTGTTTTTAAACTGTCTTTAGGCCTTAGCCTACTCAGCTGTAAAATGGGCCTGATGGTCCCTGCCTGGGTGAGCAGTGAAATGCTGTGAAAATACTCTGAAACCAACCCTGCGTCTTGACCTCTGCAGGGAGGTGCACAGCTCCTTAGTGCCAGACACCTGTGATCAGGTTCATAACCCTGAAGACTTCCTGAAAGAAAGTGAGGACAGAAGAGGGCATACCTTCCTTCCGGTACTCCACGGTGTAACCGGAAATAGTGCAGTTTCCTGTGCTGGCTGGGGGCAGCCAGCGGAGAATGACGGACGTGCAGCTCCTCTCCTGGGCAATGGGGCGGTTGGGAGCTGCCGGAACGCCTGTGGACACGCACAGCGGGGCCAGTGCTGCTTCTGCAGACCTTGGCATCTCACACCACAGTTGAATGATATGGTTACCTGACCCTAGTTTCGAATGTTGCCCGTGATCTTCTCCAAGTAGCCCAGCTTTGCCCAGGCCTAAGGTACACTCGGGAGAGGCACCCTCAAGGTAAACGCTGCACACTACACTGGGATGAAGGTTGGCCAGGGAACTATGCAGGAGCCCGTGGTGGGATACAGACAGCTCTCAGCAAGTTCTTTTCCCATTGGCTAAAATTCTATTTTGGAATTTTGCATGGGATCCTTTCTTCCCCAGATCTCAGGGAGCTCTTGTCATGTTCACTTAGAATGTTTGACTAACACAAAATCCTAGAGGCAGAAATCAGAATGGTGGCCAACAGGGCTATGGTGAGGGAAGAATGGGGGAGCTATCAGTTAATGAGTAGGGAAGGGGTCCCAGGCTGGGGAGATAAAGAGTTCTGTGGATGGATGGTGGCGACACAGCACAGCAATGTGAGTGTCCTCATGCCTCTGAACTGCATGCTTAAAAATGGTTAGGCAAAACGTTTTATTATGATTTGAAAAAATGCTTTAAAAGTAATATCATAAAAAGGAAAGAGGCCATACCTTGCACCTTAACTGTAGCAGACGTGGACGCAGTGCCATGGTCGTTTGTTGCTATGCAGGTATAAATCCCACTGTCCTGGGGCATCAGATTGCAGATCTTCAAGGTGATTTCACCAGAATCACTACAGACACCAAAAGGATGTCCTTCAGATACCATCAATGAGACAATGCGCTGATGGATAAAATCCCCTAGGGCTGGCTTATGCTGTGCTGAGCTGAGAGTCAGTAGGCCCAAGATCTAGCCTATTCTGTCACCAACATCCACACCTTAGGTGAACACCTTGCCTCTATATCTTCATTTCCTTATATGGGGAAAATTTTCTGGCTGGGCCTACTTCACGAATTTGTGTAAATGAGGGATAGAATATAAGGAATAAAATGAGATAAAAATTAGGACAGATAGGGAGTATTGCTTTGACAAGTTAACTCAGTTCTCAAAGGGAAACAATCTGTAGGACACTCCAGTTTCTATCCTATATTTATTCATCTAGCAGAACAAGTGTCTCTTCAATTCAGCAATATAGGCCTATTTTCCATAGAATGAATGTTTCTCCCACTTGAAAACGCTGTCAGATAGGGAATATTCCTTGACAGACTAATTCAGTTCTCAAAAGGGAACTACAGGTTTGCAATATAATTAGTATTACATGTTATCACTAGCAACTTTTGCTAAAATATTTTCAGTCTCACAGATCAATAGTGAAGGGTATAATAAAATGGAAAGACTGAATAATGAAAATCCTACATGTGGGACCCTCAAGATGATTAAGTGAATTAAGAAGGGGTAAGTTCCTACACCTAAATGATAAGTCCCTTGTCCCACACACCACTCACCCAAGCAGGAATACCCCAAGGGAAGAACTCTTCTGAAAGGGTTAAATCAGGCTAAGTAAGTACCACTCCCTCGACAGGTCATGACACATACTGGCTTTTCATGATCTTCACTAAGCACTGACTCTCACACTAAGCTCCTTGGGCTCAGAGAGGTTTTATGACCTGATCAGGGAGTCTGTGATAAGAATACCAAGGAATGATGCCTTTTTCATTTTACACACACATATATTAAGTCAATGGATGAAAGTTGCTTGATCCTAGATGTTTCTTTCATAAGTGACTCTCATGCATTGTTAGTGCTTGCTACTGCTTATCCACTGTAAGCAGCAGTAAACAGTGAAACACTTGCTGAGTAGCAATACATGTTAACAAAATCATTGGGAGGCAGTCAACCAAGGTTTGCCAAATGGCCTTTTGTGTTTAGAATCAAGCTTGCATCTTGATTTTCTATTGTACATTTTGGAATGAGTCATTTTTTTCTCTTATAAAATAGTCTTAGGTAAGGGATGCACCATGTCACTGTTCTAAAGCTTTCTGAAGGGCATTAAACATTAGGATGTCCAAATTTGAGGACCACTTTCCTCAAATGTGGTCCAGAAGTTTCACCACTTCTGACTTAGATTCTTCTGGGGATCTTAGGGACATGTCACCTAACAGGTAACTGTAAGACTGGGACTGTAGAAGCTCTTTAAACATACAGTTCAGGCTTGACTTGTGATATAAAGGTTTATACTTTTGTTCACTGTGGGTCCAACATGTTATCTTTCCAGACGGTTCCTGTGAGCCCCAGGGGTGTCTACATGGTACTGAGTAATGTGAGTGGTGTGTGCTGGTGTCGCCCCAGAGGCTTGGACTGAGAGAAGGCCTCATGGTGGGCAGCTGAGGCCAGGCTTACTATTCAGAGCGCTGAGTGCTAATTTAAATTGTGTGGGGCTGAGCTACCTACCCATGCTCTTGACTAAGTCTCTGTCCTCAATGAGGCCAAGCGTTTGGTCTGGAATAGGCATCAGGGCACCTCTTCTCTTGCAGAGAATAGGAACCTGATCAGAAGCCACATCCCAGATTTAGCCCTCAGTGCTGCAGGTGCTGAAGTTGGGGGCGACCCACTTACCAGGAGGAGACTGTGTATGTGGCCGAGCTGTTGTCTGTGTCAAGGATATTCTGGTCTGGACCCTTCCAGGTGATGGTGGGCTTTGGACGCCCGCACACTTTGCACTGCAGGATCACTGTGTCTCCAAGCAGGCAGGTCACATCCACTAAGGGCACAAGGAATTCTGGGGCCACTGTGATCGAAGTGACATATGTCCACATCACTCACACACACTGAGAATGAAACAGTCATTTTTAAATACAGTTCTCTCATCCCCTCTCATGTTGGCTAACGATTAAAATAACCTTCCGCTGAACACTGTTGTATCATCTGTGCTCGTGAAAGAGTATTTTAAAGTAATAAATATTTGTTACATAAAATTAGGAAAAACATAAAAAACAAAAAAAGGAAGCAAAAGTCTATAATGGTCATGATCCAGAAAGAACAAGTGTGCACATTCTGCCATGTAGCCTTTCAGGTTTTAGATAGACATGCTTATCCTTTGTGCATACCGCAAGTTGTAGTCTTGTACACTTAAGTTTATCATAAACATCTTTCCTTTTACATGAATGCAGAAGCACATCAGTTTTGTGTAATCTCTGCCTGAATCCTAGGTATACCATAAGTTACCCAATCCCCACATTCTCAGTTCTACCCCTTTTTAACTCACCTTCTTGGATGAAATTTGGATTTAAGATCTGAAAAACACAAAGAAACAGAAAATTGCTAAGAACAAGTTACTGAATAAAAATAAAGTAGCATTGAGAGATCACATGCCCATCCAATCCCTGTGCTGTGATGAACTGTCACAGTCCAAAATCCCTCTTCAACACCAATGGGCATGTGGTTACTTTGCTGTCTACTTGGTTCCCTGGGTAGGTTTATTGCTGCTGGGAGCTCTGATCACCACTGCAGCCTTTTCCCTCCCTCTCTCAGTTGCTCTTCCCCCTTTCACAGGCACAACCCCACTCCCCTCCTGTTCAATATACTCTCAAGCAATGCCATGGTGCTGATTCTTCCCAGACACAAATTTCTAGAAGGAGAGAACATGAGACCTACCAAACTGGGCCATTGATTTTTTTTTTTTTTTTTTTTGGTGAAATTGGGGTTGAACTCAAGGCCTTACACTTGCTAAGTAGGTGCTCTACCACTTGAGACACTCCACTAGCCCAAACTGGGCCATTGAAATGAACTTCCAAATGTCTTCCTCCACCCCTCTCAACTTTCCCCTCCTCAAGCAGCTAAACACACAGCTTCTCTGGTTAAAGAGAAAGAGATGTCTTGTCTGTTCATGCCATAAGAGCAAACTTCTATGGCCCAGGCCTCCACAGAGTGACTTGAAAGCTCCTTTTTTGTGCTTCCCAGTTTAGTGGGCCCACTAAGTGACTTGCCCATCCCATAGCTGGTATAAAGGGAAACTGCTGAAGTTCTCTGTACACTGTGCTGCCTGCCCCAGGACATCCCGGATATTTCACAAAAGATTCTAGCTGACTGGCCATTCTGAAAGGTTACTCCTTCTTGAAAGGATATCACTTTGAGCCACTCCATCTTTTGTATTCTCTCTAATCAGGCAAGTGCAAGTACAGGTCAGAAAGTCTGGAGTGGTGAAAAAGCACAGGCTTTGGAGTGCAAGAGGCTGAGGTCACCTGCTTTATTTAACAGGTTGTATGCTCATTACCTAATATTGGTTAACATCAGTTCCCTCCACTTTAAAATGAGGATTAATAACACCCAGGGCAAAGTGTTAGCATGAGGATTAAATGAAATTATGTATGTCAAGTGTGTAGCACAAGGCTTGACAAATAATGAGCTCTTGGTATCTATTTAAATAATGATCATCTAATCATCTCCTTTCTGCTAAGCAGCCTCTTATTAAAGTGGCTTATCTCTTCCAGTTTATCTTGCAAAAGATAAAGGAAAGAATTTCTTTCCTCTCTCATGAAGCCTGGAAACTCATATTCCTTACAGAATAGTGCAGGTGGGGCCTTCACACTGATCCCCTGTATCTGTCCCTGCCTTAGGTGAATATGTATGGTTTCTGTTTTCTTTCCATTGAGCCCTTTGGAACAGAGACGTCATTTTCTTCTTTGGGTTTCCCTTTGCAAGCCAGCTGCCCACTTATACCACCCAGTTTTTTCCTGAATTGGACTGCACAGATTTTGCAATGCCAAGTTTTGGGGTTGAGTGTCCCAGCTCTGGCCACTGAAATGCCCTCTGCTCTTGCACCAGGGCCCAGGATTCCTTTAAATCAGCAGTTCCCATTCCCTGACCAGGTGGCTTTAAAAACAGTAAGACCTTAGGTAATTGTAGCTACTCAGGAGGCAGAGATCAGGAGGATTGAGATTAGAAGCCAGCCACAGGCAAATAGTTTGTGAGATCCTATCTCAGAAACACCCAACACAAAAATAGGGCTGGAGGAGTTGCTCAAGTGGTAGAGCACCTGCCTAGCAAACTCCAGTACTGCCAAAAAACAAATCAAACAAACCAACAAACTGAAAGATGGATGCCTGGGCCTCAGGACAAGAGCTTCCGTTTGAATTGATGCAGAGTGGGGCCCAGGCATTGGGAGTTTTGAAAGCACTTTTAGGTGAGTCACCATGCAGCCTGATTTGAGGAATGCTGTTAGAGGTTCCCCTCTGTCACAGCAACTGATCTCCAATAAGTCAACTTCCTGACCCTGAAGCTCTTATGGGGTGGGGTCAAGGGGTGCAAGAAGGCATTTGGTAAAAGCTACTGAATTTCCACACCCTAAGAAGAACTCTATGTAAATATTCTAGGCCATGGTAGAGGGGAGGAATGTGAAAGGTTGTTCTAGTGAGCAATTGACAACCAGTAAACATGGTAAGCAGTCCCATATCACCTGCAGGGATTGCTAAAGAGGCTGTTCAATGATCAACCTTGCTTACGCAAGGCAGGACAATCCCATCTGTTGTCAGTCATTTGACAGCCAAAGGAAGCTAAGACTATTTTTCAAATATCAACTGTGGTTATCTCAGGTTGGGGACTTAAGGGTAGCTTTCTTCCCACTCAAAAAACCCTGACCAAGCTGGGTACCAGTGGCTCATGCCTGTAATCCTAGTTATTCAGGAGGCAGAGATCAAGAGGATCAAGGTTCAAAGCCAGCCTGGACAAACAGTTTATGAGACCTTATCGTGAAAAAACCCATCACAAAAAATGGCTGGTGGAGTGGCTCAAGGTGTAGGCCCTGAGTTCAAACTCCAGCACCAGAAAAACAAAAACAAAAACAAAAAAACCCTGACTGAGCTCATGTTCTGTTCTAAGAACTGTGTATGAATTTGTGGATACAGAATTACTAAGACACATGTCCTGACCTCAGGATTTATAAAACATTATCCGAATTTTGGGTGACATTTTTTTCTTTCATTACTTACTTGAACATTCCAAATATTCTGCAATCAGACATTTCACTGTCATGATTTTTTTAGAGAGAAAAAAGGTGTAGTCAAACTGATTAGAATGTAAGCTCTTGGAGGATGGGAGATACCTGTCACCATTGTGCCTCAGAACCCTTACCAGGATCTACCACATGATACACACTTACCATGTATTGGTGAGTGAATGTTTGGCTTTGACTTCATATCAGTTCTACCAAGAATTTAGGCCTGGGACTCAATATTTGATGACTTATTAGGCTGACCCTTGTTTAATAGTGATACCAGGAGGGAGCAAGATAGACATACTTAAAGATAGACATGCTTACTACCCTCAGTGAGCCAACAGCTTAGTGGGGAAAATGGAATTAAATGACATTTGCATTTGATTCAGTGCCTGATGAATAATAGTAATGACCAGCTTTCAAACAAGCACAGCTCTAAATTCTCCCCATTCCACCTCTACTCAGCCAGTCTAGGATAGAAGCTTGAGAATGTTGCCACATTTGTTCAATGACCTGTATTTCCCATCATGATGGGGGCCCATGGGGAGGAAGACATTGAGTCCATGCCAGAAGTCTCACAGGAGAGACAAATGACAAAGGGACAGGTAGCAGGCTCATATAATTTTTTGTGATGTTTGGGATGGAACCTAGGACCACAGAATGTTAGGCAAGTATCAACCACTGAGCTATATCCCCAGCCCATATTATAAAATTTTAGATGGGGCTTCAAAAACCTGTAATGTGATAATACTTCTATAAGAAACCATCCCAAACTGCTGCTTAAAGACTTTCTTGTCTTCTCTTTCTCGTCACATAACCTCAACTTTTAGGTATAGTATTGAATATATGCACTATTTAAGAAACAACTATTCCTAGTTAATGTGTAGATTTAGTGGGATGCCAGGGAGAAAGGTGGATAATAGGATGAACAGTAGGTTTTCTATCTGGAAGGGACTTGTGGAAGCCATCAGTCTTCATTCTTCTGCCTCTTGGCCGGCCCAGTTGAGGAGAGCCAACTCAGCACAAGCTGTTGCTGATAATGGTAATAACATCACTGATCTGTGTGGCAACATGTAAGTGGCATAAACTATTCACAAATACCTTCATTTGTTCCTCCAAAAACTCTGGAGGAAGAGCAGGGTGTAAGGAGGCTCCTTTCTAATGAGACTAGGAAGTGAAATGTAAGACACTAGACTGACAGAGTGCCAGACCTAGGAGGCCCTGAGTTTCAGCCTTGCTCTTTCCATCACAGCATTCAGTGCAGAGAGTGAGGCTTGGGAAAAGTATTGCAAAACTTTGATGTTGATGTCAAAGGCCCACTTACTCAGCTTTGCTCCCACCTTTTTTCTCCACTTCCTCTTCCCAGTCTTCTTTAACCTCCTCTAGGAAGGATCAAGAGCCTGCAAAAGCTCTGAGGTAATGCTTTTTCTAACTTTTACTCTGGACTATGCTCACAGAATATCCCTTCCTCACTTTCCACTTTCTACTTTGAAGTAAATCAGAATACACAAGAGAGGGTTATGACACCCTTCTCCTACAAGTAGTCTGATAACCTACATAGATGAACTATAAGGCCCGTGAGGACAAGGACCATGTTGTTTTGTTCTCTGTTATAACCTCCAAGCCTTGCACAAAACCTAGCGCATCAATGCTCCATTTGTCAAATCAATTAAAATTTACAGTGGCTGGATTCTAACTGGGATAGGAGAGCTGAGAAAATGTCTTATCACGAACTTGGAACATGAAATTTCTATTTCCTCAAATTGAGAATGTGACTCTTCAGAAATCCCACTAGTCAGTCAATGTCCATGATTCAACCAACAATGTTCTTCCTCTTCTGTGTGCTTTGAGGCTGGTACCTCAAAGGGTCTGGTCATGAGCTACTGTGCATCATAACCTCCTACCTTTATTGCAAATGCTCTATCAGACGGGAAGATAGTAATCATTTCCCATGTTTTATGTACCATCAACACTATCAATCTTGCACAAAGCAGAAGATCAAATATTTGTTGAATCAAATTAACTGAGGTCACTTAATTGATAGACTAGAATTTGGGTCTCCTGACCACCTTGTCTAGTGATTGTTGTTGGTATGCACAGGAACCTGGGGCACTGATCACAAGCCTTACATGTTTCCTTAGAAACAAATAGTAGTGATGGGTTCACTTAAAGTGGTAGATGGGAAGCAACAGGGAACTAGAATCTGAAATAGAAGGGGTTGTGGAAGAAATGAGATACCGTGCATAAAATGCATATGTTCTTTCTCTGAGAGATGCAGTAGAGAATGGTGGGCAAAGTACA